TTGTCGTTTTCTATGATATTCTTGCTTTGGATTCTCAATGATCTATTGGCTTCATTGAACACATTGCAATGAACAACAGCACATAATAAACAAATGATGGCTTTTGTTAGAGCCAGTTGACGATCGGACCAACAATTCGAGTATGCCAAATAAATATTGAAGGCATCAGCCGAAGCAAGAGCGAATATCTTAGCACATACTACAGATGACCTACAATTAAAAAACCGTGGCCAAATCCCTGGATACACACTAATAGCTTCAATCAACCACGCTCAGTACAGTATCGCGACTTATTGTAGAGCAGATATCAAACATTACAGCACATGTCACTCTTACTCGACACAAGAGATTTTATACTTGCTGTGAAAGTAGACGAAATGACTATAGTCAATATATACAAAACACCGAATGCTGAATGGCCACAAAACGTACTTCCTACATTTTCTCACCCGACAATATACACTGGAGACTTTAACAGCCATCATACTACATGGGGATATATCAACAAATCGCCAAATGGGCTGAGTTTCACTATCTCAGACTTTTATACGCTGCAAAACAGAAACCCACCTTACATTCTGCAAGATGGCAAAAAGGCTACAATCCCGATCTCACGTTTATATCTTCCAGCGAATGAGGTTCAAAAAACGCTTATAAGAACGCGCAAGGAAGTTCTCGATAACTTTCCTAGATCCTAACATAGACCAACAATTACAACATTGGGCACCACCATCCCTATTATAAATTCAATCCCTTTGCCAAGATGGAATTTCCGGAAGGCAAGGTGAGAAGAGTTTAAATTCCAACTTAGAGAGATATAAGACATATCAAACCAGAGGTCCAAATTTATGAAAGATTTGCATCACTGATGATAAGCTGTGCAAAAAAGCACATCCCACGTAGAGTTACCAAATCCTACATCCCATGCTGGAACGACGATGTAAAGAACTACTTGATCAGTATGAGAAATCTGGATATCCTGGAATCTGGAGAAATTTTAGAAAATCTCAATTTCACACACAGTAGACGCACCGCATAGAACCTTTTAAGAAAACTAGACTCTGGCACAAACAACGCTACAGCAAACTCTACAGCCCCAAAACCGGAAGACATATGCAAACGCATAGCCAACCTTTCAAAACCAGTAATAGAAAAAAATCATAAAAGAGAAGTTAGATTTCAGTTGAAAGAAGACAAGATTGCTCAACAACAAAGCATATCAATAATAATGCCTATCGAGCCAAAAGAACTTGCAGAAGCTCTAAAGTTAATAAAATGCCGCAAAACCGCAGGAGTTGACAACATTTATCCTGAATTTATCAAACACATTAGCCCAAATACCAGTAAGTGGCTTCTTGAATTTTACCATCCACCATAGAACCACCATAGAGGCAGATCTAAACACTGTTAACAGATACTTTAAGAAATGGGGATCACAACCAAACCCATCGAAGACTGAAGTAACAGCTTTTCATATTAACAAGCACAAGGCAAATTACAGAGTAAACATAGAATGCGATAGAATCATTCTAAAGCACAGTTCGAACCCAAAATACCTCGGCGTAACTCTAGATCGTACCCTAACGTTTAAACAGCATTTGAAAAACACTTTAGCAAAAATACAGACCCAGAACGATCAGACCGATCGCGCTCTCCTTTGTATATCCTACTGCAGAATATTGCGCTCCTGTCTGGATAAACAGTCATCACACAAACGTCATAGATACCAAGTTAAACCAAACAATGAGGCACATAACGGGAACTATAAAGCCCACACCAATACAATGGCTTCCAGTTTTAAGCAACATCTCTCCACCAGCAACAAGATGACTAGCCGCACTCAACACCCTTGTTCAAAAATGCCAACAAAACCCATCATCATCATCATCATTGGCTTTTACAACTCTTCGTGAGTTTTTGCCGCGTTTACTATAGCCTTCCATTGATTCCGATCCTGTGCTATTATTTCCCACGGCCTTACTTCCGTCTTCTCCAGGTCTTCCCTGACTGCGTCTTTCCACCTTTTTCTAGGCCTTCCTGTCGATCTTCTACCATCTGGTCTTTTCCAAAACACATTGCTAATCAGTCTGTCGTCATCACTCCGTACCACGTGGCCTGCCCATCTTAATCTATTGGCTTTTATGTATTTTACGATGTTTCCTTTTCCGAAGAGAGTCTCTATTTCATTGTTGTATCTGCTCCTCCATTCATTTGTCACGCTGTCCCTGCAAGGACCATATATAATTCGCAGGATTTTGCATTCCCATACTAATAGCTTATTTATTATTTTTATTTTATCGTATGCTACATCACAGGTTTCATATAAATATAAAAATAGAAATATAAATTATATAAATTACATACAACAGTAAATATAAAGAATATATTATGCTACAAACAAAACATCTAAATAATAAATATATTCGATGGACTCTTTTGTAGCAGCCAGGAAATCTGAAGGGTTCCTTAAGATCTAATCAGGCTTCCCTACCATGTGTTTTACTGTTTGCCTTTCGGCGCCGCATCGCATTGGTGGATTGTAATTTTTCCCATCTAAAAGTGAGTCGGAAACATCTCCACAGTTTCGTCCTTATTCTATTGAGTGTGGTCCAAATTCGTCACGTTGGTTGAAGCCCTCAGTTTTACTTTAATACATGGCATTTTGCAGTTTAGTGTGCAGCGTTATTCTCCCATTGTCTCTCCACCGTTCAGTTACTTTAAAGTTTTGATCGACTAGCCTTTTGCGTTTGTAAGCGGGTGTCCTTGAAACGGACCTATTTATTCTCGGCGAAGTCCGACATGGACGGACTCAGATCAGTATTGATTTTTCATAAATCTCTGACAAGGCATGTTCCCGCGGATATGTGGTGGGGCTATATACCAAAGCTGTAACCAGTACGTGGGCGTCCTTGATTGTGCCGATATAGTTCGCATGGCTTGTTGATATGGACATCAACACGGTGAGTAATGTGGACTGTTTATCCATACTGGTGCAACAGTAATTCCGCTACGGGTAATACCAGTCCCTAACTGTCGACGTAATAGTGGGGCTGAGGAGCCCCATGTAGTGCCGCAGAGCCTTTGCAGGATTTTTTACGAGTTCGGATTTTTGCAGCAGTCTTAGTAAGATGCTCTTTTAAATTCAGCTTCTTCAAGTGTAACACCTAAATTTTGGGTGTTTTATTATATTTAGGAGTCTATCCCGCAAAATAATTGAAGGTTGATAGTTGCATCCTTGTTGTATAAATAGGTAGCAGGACACTGAGTCTTAGTATGATTGGTTGCAATCTCCATTGCGGAATAATTTCCCTAGGGCATTTAAATCGATTGTTAAATGCGTCAGTGACCTCGAAATCTTTATACTTGCCGCAAGCTTCCAGTCGTCTGCGTATCCAAACTTTTTGAATGTGGTTTCTGGCATGTCTGCTATTAGAAGGCTGAAAAGCATGGACCAGCACGATCCTTGTGAAGTCCATTATCATTTCTTTGTTACTAGTCTTGTTCTCCAATATAACTTTAAAGCATCTGTTGATAGTCAGGCGTTAATAAACCTCAGTGGTCTTTCTGCATGGATTATTCGCATTAATTTATATATTGCCCCCTTCTCGCCACACAGTTCATAAGCAGCCAAATAGATCGATAAGACAGCGGTGTTTTTGATGCTTTTGAAAGTTTGATTCCACATAATTGGTCAGGCAGTACCTGGTCTGTGCAGCTGCCGGTTTGGCCGAAATCCGCCTGATTCCACTGGTAATTTGGTATATGGTTTGGCTGATTCTATATACAACATCTTCGAACATTTGTACACAAGACTTTAAGAGTGCGATTGGGCGGTAGTTTTTTTCGTGATTATTACTTTTTCCCTGGTTTTAAAATGGCGACGATTTTTGCATTTTAGTGGTGGGACGTTTCCCGGTTGAAGTTATGTCAGAAAAGAATTCTGCGACCATTGCCTAGTAATCTGCCGCATTTTAGGAACTCAGCGTGAATGGCGTCGAAACCCTGTGTAAAGCTAGTCGCAGTCCGTATAACATACACGTGCACCTGGTAACGCTAAAAATGAACTAGCACAAAAGGCCCAGAACAATCTTAGAATCTCTGGCAATTCAATCATCACAGAAAATATTTCCAGAAATACTTATTGATTTCTTCTTTGTCAATGTCCATTTTCACTTCCATATGTCACTGCTGGTCGTATTATGGTTTTGTACATTTGGATTTTGGCACGCCTTGAGAGAAGCTTTGACCTCATTAGATGTTGAATGGCAAAGAATGATTTATTCCCCGCCAGTATTCGTATTTCAACCTCCCGTTCTCCTGTGTTTTCACTGGTAATTGTTGCTCCTAGGTATTTGAATTCTTTGACCACCTCAAAATTATGATCGTTTAAAACCCAGCACTACCGATAAATACAGATATCGTTGAGCTAGACCAAAAAGAGTTAAGACTGAAATTCACTCATCCACCAACTAGAACTACTGATTGGCTGATTTCAGTACTGAAGAGCTCTGGATGGGCGAATGAAATCCAGATATCAGAAATACTAATCTCATAGAAAACCCTACAATTAAATCAGACGGCTTTTCTCTTTCTCGTCTGAATGGTGCAACCTTAATAGAATACGAGTTGATCATGGAGTTTGTCTCTGAACCAGTGGGTTATAAATGCCAGTCCGGGATGTGACAAATGCAGCGCTGTTGAACAACAACAGATTCCTTTGCACCATATTATAGAAATATCTTACTAAGTTGTAAGTATCTTCTCGTGTGTCTATATTTATCTAATATTCTCGATTTATATATCTTCTATCATATTATAGATCTGCTATTATAAAATGCTGGTAAAATAGTACATTTATTTTAGATAACAAAAAATATAAAGTTTACGTATGTTTTAATGTTGCCGAACCTATCATTGGCCACAATGGTGTTCACATATCAATTACAACCTACTGAGCGTCAGAAATTTAATAGTTTTTTTGTAAAAATTGATCAACTTACAGTTGGTCCGGGCAGCCGTGGGGTTGGCGCAACCTCATTCCATTTCTAATGAAAACCCCTAACTCGAATGGATCTACGTCCGGGTACGGCTGTTGTGCCATGGTGGTCAGCTCCCACAGTAGTACTCCAAAGGACCACTGCAATAAAAATAAGAGTATAGGTTTAAATTCTGCGCCCTAGAATAGAAGGATCACACCAGAGGATCTTCATCATTTGTTAAATTAGTTAGTTGTTCTAATTTTTTTATTAAAATTTTTTTACACATAATAATGTAAAATAATTTCTATAAAAGTTCTGTCTTTAAAAACAGCAGGCAATCACAAAAAATTACAGTATATTTGTCCAACAATGTTTTATTTAGGCAAATAGTTGTCGTGTTTTTAACGCAAATTATAAACAGTTAGTGTCTCCATTCATCTAGTAAAATGTTGACTTCACAACGAATTTGATCACTTACCAATTTTTACTGAGATATAAATGAGCGCACATATGAAGAGGGTTTAAATAACCTCAAGATGTAGCCACACACATGAACTTCATTTTTATCAAACTGTGTCGTTACACCGCGAGGGTAATTAACGGTGTTCAGCTCTTTCTTGTGTTTATAACGCCCAACCTAAACCAAGATGTATTTATAACCTCTTCATTACACTTTATTAGTAACTCTGTTATTTGTACACCTTTATAATCCATTGGTCAATCAAATCAAAAGCTAGATATCTACTGTATTTTTTTTACTCGTTTCCTCTTCACTAATACACCAATTATATAGTTTTTATCGTATTGAAATCATTTTCTTGTGCCATTTCTTTGTAGGTAATGGACAATCACAATTTTAATTCAAAATAGGTTTTTTATATTTTGATTTTCACCTCGAATTAGTTTTCAAAATACAATTGTGTAAATAAATACTTTTGTTTAATTTTTATTGTGGGGCAGATTTCCGTGGTGGAAAAAGATACGTCAAATATAACATATCGACCGTTAAATACCAATACCTTCTATCTAACATTTTTTTCAAAAATGAGTTTATCGCACCATCTAACTGCAAAGCTTGTTACGCATCTTGTACTTTGTACAAAACATAAATACCTAACGTCAATTTAACTCATGTTTTTGTGTGGTAAAGTTCTTATAAATTATTTTAAGTTAAGATAATAGTCACATAGAGATCGACACGCCTCCTTTAGACTCGGCAATTTCATCAGAAAATCTGTTTGCAAAACCCAAACCCTCTAAACCAAAAAACCGCGCTCATCTAAAGTTCCATCTACACGGGAAACTCTTGAATATTTCATTGATAATCATACCCGACCATTCGTTTTAAATAACCACTAATTGTCCTTACTGATTGATAATGTCCAAAGCTCCCCCGACACTATTAGCGTCGTTAAAGAATTTACAACTGATATGGCTGGTTTACTACATCTTTTACAAAGCAGCTATCAATATGCAAATGATAGATCTACAAAAAGCAAGTTTACAAAACTTCAAAAGAAACTACACAAACATTTAGGTAAAGAGATTTCTGACTTACATAGATAGTGACTCTTCTGTAGACAATTGTTTAGTATCATCTAACTCCGAATCTGTTAACAACATTCAACTCGATACTTCAATGGAACATTGATGGATTTTTCCATCGTCTCCCTATGCTACAGCTTCTTTTATCTGAATATTCTCCAGATATTATTTGTCTACAAGAGTCAAACTTAAAGACCAATCAGTTGTAAAATTCAAAAAATTTCACTTGTTTCCGCAAAGACCGTATAGGTGCAAGTCGTGCAAACGGTGGTGTGTCCCCAGCATGTAGCACATATTCAGCTGAATTCACGCCATATACCGTGCTGTGAAACTTCTTAACGAGCTTACACTCATAAAAGCTCTGATCAACAGATTCCCTTAGCTCTATAAACTCATTAAAACACATTTTTCCGAAACATCCTTTTAAAAAGAAGTGTCCAATTTTTATGGGTTCCCTCACCGTCGGAATAACAGGAAATGAAGCTGACAGGACTGCACGAGAGGCAATTTTAAGTAATTTGTCGGAGCCGATAGACTCCAAAGTGTGTTTCCAGTGACTTAAAAGCTTATTTTAAAAATAAAGTGTGGTGTTTGTGGCGAAATGAGTGCTCTCAAACTAATTCCAATCTAAATAAAATCAAAAATAATTTGTCTCAATGGTTTCCATCGTCGCGCAATAGACGAGAACAAATTGCAGTTGCGCGTTTACGTCTAGGACATACCAGATTAACGCACTTCTACCTTTTCACAAAGAAAAATCCATCTATATGTGATCAGTGTAAAGTCCTATTAACAGTCGAACACTTTTTAACAATTTGTGGTAAATATGACAAAGAAAGACAGCGCGACAAGGTCCCAAACGCTCTATCATAGGCTCTAGGTCAAAACTGTTCCTGTGACTATATAGTGAATTATCTCAGATCCATAAACATTTTGTACAATCTGTAGGTGTTTAACTTTGTTATTTATAGTTTGTTCCTTCGCTAATAACCTTTTGGTGGATGCGACATCTTTTCCTAATAAAAAAAATAGTTACATATTCAAGGCTTATAATACAGTTAAAAAATGTACACACGACCACCAAAGGGACGTTTAGTAAATTGAAATGTAGATAGCAGATCTTTCCACAAAAATAATTAATATTACTTAGGGTGTTCGTAGTACATAGGCGGCGCAAAAAACGGGCGTATCGGATATTTTGTCTTAGGGCCTTACCTATAATAAACGGTGAGCCACTTAATAACATAAGATATGCTGACGACTATATATGAATCAAAAATTATTTGAGGAATATGCCAAATGGGGGCTTACTGTAAACATAAGCAAAACAGAATATTTAAAAATTTTAGGAAATACCACAGATCTGAGGCTTGAAAACGCAGTCATAAAAGGCTGCAACCAGTATAAATATCTAGGAAGCATCATATCAGCAGATGGCAGAGTTAAGATAGATGTTCAAAACCGAATAACCCAAGGGAAAAAATGCATCCGAATACTGAATTCATTACTGTGGTCTAATAAAATAAAGATGCATACCAAACTTCGCGTATACAGAGCAATTGTAGAACCAATTACCACATATGGTGCCGAATGTTGGACGATGACAAAGAATGAACGAGATAAAGTAGACGTTGTGGAAATGGATTATCTTAGAAGGTCATGTCGAGTATCGAGAATGGAAAGAATCAGGAATGAGGAAATACGAAACCGTACAGGAATTAGAGATACTCTTTCAGATAGAATACAAGGAAGGTAATTACAATGGTATGGTCACGTGATGAGAATGAAGGAGGAGCGGTGGCCAAAGAAAGCCTTAATGTATGTTCCGCCAGAAAGAAGGAAAAGGGGAAGACCACCAAATTCCTGGAGAAGAGAAATTACAAAAACAATGCAATCTAGAGGCTTAGAAGAGGGAGATTGGGGAGATAGGAAAAGATGGAGGCTGAAATGCGGGAAGCGGCAATCGCCGTAGGACCCCCGTTATATGATGATAATGCTGACGACACTGTTCTTCTCGCAAGAACACTAGAAAAACTGCAACACCTTGCTGAACAACTAAATATATATTGCAACGATTATAGACTAAAAATAAATTTGAAGAAAACCAAGTTCATGGTATTCACAAAAGCACAAAACATCAAAGTCAAGCTAGTACTAAATAATGCAGAAATTAAACAAATATCTTCGTACAAATACCTTGGAGCATGGATCACAGAATATACTGATCAGACAAAAGAAATAAGATGCCGCATTGAAAATGCACGGTCAACTTTTAATACAATGAGAAAACTTTTTTTGTAATCGCGATATCAATAAATCGCTCCGGAGAAGAATGCTTCGATGTTATATTTTCTCTACCCTTTTGTATGGGGTTGAACCTTGGACACTTAAAAATCCAACATTAAAAACCTAGAAGCATTCGAAATGTGGTGTTACCGACGTATTTTGAAAATATCATGGATGGATCGCAAAACAAACGAACAAGTTCTCGAACAACTAGGAGAACAATGCGAAGTTTTAAATTCCATAAAAATCAGGAAATTGGAATACTTGGGGCACATCATGAGAGGTGAAAAATACGAACTACTAAGAAATATAACGCAGGGTAAAATCAAAGGCAGAAGAAGCGTAGGAAGACGTAAAATCTCGTGGCTACGCAATCTCCGTGAATGGTTTGGATGCAGTTCAATTGAACTATTCAGGCGCGTAACCAACAAAATTATAATTGCCAGAGTGATTTCCAATCTCCAAAAGGAGCGGAACTTAAAGAAGAATGAGTATACCTTCATTGAAAATGTTAAAAAATAGAGATATTATAAAATGGTGCTTCCAGATGTTCTGTTGAAGTAAAAATATGTATAACAGACAAAAAAATGTTAGTTTTAGCAGTTGTAGTTAATTAAGCACATTATTCAATATTATTATGTAAAACCATTACCTTTCATAGCTTCTTAGATTTTTGGCTTCTGATGCACACAAAATCAACCAAATTCTTAAGTTTTAGGAGTCTAATAATATTGCTTTTGGTATTATTTACTAAAAAATAGTTTGAATCCAGAAATCGCCATCCATACTGTAGGAAAACCATGCCTAGCTTTCGCAGTAGAGTTTAGTTTTCCCAAAAGTTTTCTTATCTAGCAGTATCAGGAGAGAAATGTTAAACAAGGTCTGAGATGTGTGCAGACAAGACCAGATGGAAAGAACTAGCTACTAGATTAGTATTATAAGAAATTGGAAGTTCAACTTGTGAACAAAACAATTAATTCACCGCAATTTAGTAAAAGACATGTATTAAAGAAGGAAATTTAAAAGGGATTTTACTATGAAAACTAATAGTATGATAAATAAGCTTTATAATAATAGCAGTTAATGATGGTTTTAAGCTATTACAAATTAGTAGCTCTAACAGATCTGCTATATTTCTCAGCTCTTAGAAGAATGTCGTAATAAGAAATCTCGAACAAAGTATCATATATGGCCATAAACTTGCAGACTGCATGGATCGCATCCATTAAAATGAGGACTACACCAGACTCTGTCAGGTAAAATAACGCAAGCTTTAGGATTAAAAATATAACAGCTATTGCCGTTACAATAACATTGCATCTTCTTTTATACATGTTTAGTATTTCTCTATTCATCTTTGTAAATG